CAACAAACTGAGCCTTCTGCCAGTTTTCTTTTCAAAGTCCACATTCCTCGAGAGCAAATAAACCTAGAACTCTCATTATAGAAGCCAGAAAGGCCCAAACCTGGTAGAAAGAAGAAAATTTGGAGGAGATCATAAGCTTGTAAGGTCAAGAGTACTGGAAAGTTTTGATGACCATATAGTTCAAGCGTGATTCTCCAGGGTTGGTCTTCAGATTGCTGCTACCACAATTTCTTCAGGCTTAGCCAGTGTGAGCAATAAGGAAAGAAGAGTTGGAGGCTGGGGTGTGATATACAATTATAATTGGAGAATGACACTTCACAAAGTCCTCTCTTATAGAAAGACAAAACTATATAAAAAAGGACTTGCTTGAGGAAGATCAACCTGGTTCCTCTACTTTCTTCCCAGCCAGTCTGCAGAAGGCTCCTTGTTCCTCAGCTGTAAATGATGGGGTTTAACATGGGGATCACAACACCATAAAAGACTGCCACTACTTTTTCCCTATTGGAGAATGTCTTGGCCTGAGGCCTCAAATACATGGCCAGGATGGTGCCATAATAAATGCTCACTGTAGAGTTGTAATTGCAGGAATGTTCCAATCTCGGATGGCAAACCTCAGATAAAGAATGTTTCCAAGCAAATACAACTCAGGCAAAAAAGTCACTAATCTATGGATAAAGGAGGATTAGAGAGGGGAAATAGACATATGTTAGACTTTAACTAGAGATAATTAATTGTATGGATTACTGTACTAAACAGTAACGAAAGTTAAGCAGTAACCAAAGTTAACCAATGATGGAGGATAACTAAAAATGTATATAAATGCAAGACTATACTGCAATAAAGATCATCATCATAATTCAGTTGTTCATGATCAAACAACTCGACTGCCTCATCATTACAACAAGTGGCGCCTGAACAGGGACCCTCTTACTCCGTCCGGCAAGGATTTGGTGCAACTTCAACCCTTTGTGGTTTCTTCAACCTTTTGGTTTCTCTATGTATGGAGTCTTCGCTTTCTGAGGAACAAAGGAAGCATGTAGATGAATTAGGCTATTTGTTGAAGAAAAATAATACCGAGGTACCACAGAGAAATCTCTTAAGGCTGGTCCAGGAGATTGCAGCTCAGTGCCTATGGTACCCAGAAAAGGGGTCTTTAAAATTAACTGATTGGGAACATATTGGGAAAACATTGCATACTGAACCTCAAGCAAAAATAGAAGTTTTGCATGTGTGCCATTTATGTAGGCATGCAATTGAAACATTTGGTCACAATGAACTTTCTCTTTTAACACCTCCACCTTCACGTTATACTAATGCTGTCATTTGTCCCCCTTCTTCACCTGAATATATGTCTTCAATTCCCTCAGCTCCTGCAGGTACAGGGCAAAAGCCTCCTGACTCTATTGTTCAGTCTTCTTTTCAGAAAATGGTAGAGACTTGTAAAAGGGATGCCTCTGTCTCAGGAACAGAATTTGCAGAATTACTGTCTGTTTGTCCAGTACAATGTCATCCTGGTCAGGGGCCACAGCTTGGACTGCAAGTAGCAGAATGGGAGGGTCTGCCTTATCAGATCTTAAGAGAGTGAAAAAAGGCAGTTGCAGACTATGGGATTAGTGGTAATTTTATAAGAGGACTTGTAGAAGGAATAAAAAATGATTATACAATGATCCCTGAAGATTGGAAACAAATATTTCGCATGATTTTAACATCCATGCAATATATGGTTTGGGAGTGAATATCTGAGACATCCTCAAGCTGCTGCTTTAGGAGGAGGAGGAGGAGCATATACAGTTGAGCAGCTATTTGGTTCTGGACCGTTTGGTACAATTCCTACTCAAGTTGTACTAAACAGTAACGAAAGGCCATAGGTCACCAAGAAAAAGAAGAAGGATAAAGCTAGAGTAATGGCACTGATTATTATCATGTTAATTGCACCGGCACCGGTATCAGAGCAAGCCAGTTTCAACACTGCCTGCAGTTCCCACTTGAAATGATTCACCACATTTGGCCCACATAAAGTTGCCTGCATGGTGAGAAAGGAGAAAATGGTAATAATGAAGGTGCTGACACATAGGCTCCCAGCCAACTGGATTCATACATTATGATTCATGATCAGGTTGTAGTGCAGAGGGTAGCATATCACCACAAAACAGCCATAAGCCATCACAGCTAACAAAACAGATTCAGTGATAGCTAATAAGCCACTGATGCTCATCTGAGCAAAACATCTGCCCCATGGGATAGTAGGCCTGTCCATGAAGCAGTGGACCAGCATCTGTGGGACAGAGGTGGTGATGTAACTGATGTCAATAAAGGAGAGATTGCTAAGGAAAAAATACATGGGTGTGTGGAGGTGGGAGTCTATGATAATCAGCATCAATATGAGGCCATTGCCGGCTACAGCAATGAGATAGATAACCAAGAAGAGGACAAACAATCCAGCACGAACTTTGAAGTTTTTAGAGAGCCCAAGAAGCACAAATTCAGTCACTGTGGTCACATTTCCCCATTTTTCCATGTTTCCTGTAAAAGTGAAATCAGTTTTCAGAACATGATAAAATTAGTGTAATAATTTACACTAATTAGTAGTGGGCAAGCCTATATTTCCCTAAAGTTTTAGCAATGTCACCAGAGCTCTTTAAATTTTGCTTCTAAAACCATATTTTTCAATGCTGTGTGATAAAAGTTTCAAATAATTTAAAACATAGCAAAGAACTATGGTGGGCTCTGCGTTGTCATCATGGTCTGGTAGGGGTGACCGGCTTAATGCATCGCCATGGAGTATGGCTTTTCCTGGCTGATAGATAAGTTTGTAATTGTAGACTGCCAGAAATTCCAACCACCTTGTCATTCTTGGAGACAGGATGTTTGGAGTGGCCTTGTCTCCCGCCAGGATTCCAAGCAGTGGCTTGTGGTCGGTAATTAAAGAAAATGTCCTACCATAAAGGTATTCGTGAAAACGTTTTACCCCCGAGATGGCAGCCAAGGCTTCTCTATCCAGTTGACTGTAGTTTCTTTCAGCTTTGGATACCATTTTGGAATAAAAGATGATTGGTGCCTCTCTGCCATCAGGTAGTGTGTGACTAAGTATTGTGCCTACGCCGAATGGTGAAGCGTCACAGGTGACAGTCAGTGGTAGCGTGTTGCTGTATTGGATCAATACAGTATTTAACAGAGGGATCTTTTGAGATGCAGTCATTGGTATATAGAGAAAAGTGGAGAGAGCACACAGCCCTGGTGGGATGGGGGGCTGTGCTAATTGTACAGGTATCTGATGTGATTTTGCCTAGCTTCACCTGCTGCTCCCTGTCTGTTAGGAATCTTATGATCCATTTACAACTGTGGTCAGGTACAGCTGACTTAGTTTAGTTAAAAACAAATATCTGGAATGATTGTATTGAATGCTGAGCTGAAGTGTACAAAGAGGACCTTTGCATATGACTTTGGAGATTCAAGATGTTATAGGATGTAGTGCAGAGCCATATTAACAACTGTTAATATCTGTTGCTCGGTAGGCAAACTGCACAGGGTCTAACAGTGGATCCATGATAGTTTTCAGGTGGGCCAGCACGAGCCTTTCAAAAGTTTTCATAACCACAGATGTTAGTGCAGCCGGTCTGAAGTCATTCAGTTCCTTGATGGAGGATTTCTTCAGCACTGGGATAATAGTAGAGCATTTGAAGCAAGAAGGAACATAGCACATCTCTAGTGATTTATTAAAGATGCTGGTGAAGATAGATGATTTATTAAAATTTATTATAAATAACAAATAATTATTTCTTGAAGATTTACTAAAGATGCAGGTGACGATGAAGAAGAATCTGTCTAATTGGTGCCATTAAGTGAAATTCTGATAATCTTTTAACTAACAATAATTCTGAAGTATTATCATTAAAATAATCAGTGCACTATTTCTAACATAATAAAGCAAAGAAAAACAAAGCTAAAGCTGATAGATTAGTAGAGATACCTCAGGTTTAGTAACAATATCATGCCCTGCAATGAATTGTACTTGCTTAGAATGTATCCTGCATGCCACTCTTTTTTTGGCTCTTTCAGATCCAAAAAAGAAAGGATGGTGTTCTTGAGATCAGCATTGATTCTACTTTGCTTTATGAATTATCTAACCATTACCTTGTTGCTTCTAGTAAGTTGACTGAGGACATTTTTGTTCAGTTTCTGCTGACCTACTGGTAAATTAGGGTTGGGGATGAAGCTACTGCTGCCAGCTTGCTGCTTTCATTACTTTTGGAAATAGATTTCTTCATCTTCTATCTGGGATTGGATTTGAATACCTAGCTATGAGAGAGAATGCAGCTTATTTAGTTTTGGCTTAGCACTTTTTGGGGTCACTGCAGCTTGCAAACAACATATACCTTAATGCAGTGTGTGAACCTACTCATGCCTAATTATGTCTAAGCATGATGTGCAAAGCAGTTTTCAAACAGTTTTTATTGCATTTTTATTTTTTCCATACAGCTTTGGCAATTTAAACATTTAAAGTGAAAGTATTGCATCTCTCTCGAATGTAGTCAATAACCACACCATTCATTCTTTCCTGCAGGAGAGAATGAGAGAAAATAGGATAGGAACTTCAAATGAATCACTGGTGACTAAATTCATCCTGATTGGATTATCCGAATATCCCAGAGCTCAGATTATTCTCTTTTGGTTGCTCTTGATGGTGTATCTCGTTAGCTTTCTTGGCAATGGACTCATCATCATATTGATCATTGCTGACTCTCAGCTTCATACTCCCATGTATTTCTTCATTTGTGTCCTTTCCACAGTAGACTTTATTCTTACCAACAATGCACTTCCTGAGATTTTAGTGAACTGCTTCGTCTACAGGCCCACAGTTTCTTTCTATAGATGTCTGGTCCAAATGTGCATTGGTTTATTTCTGGTTGTAGCAGAGTTCATTGTTTTGGCAATCATGGCATATGATCGCTTGGCAGCTGTATGCCAGCTGTTATATTACATGCAGATCATGAGTTGGAGATTATGCTTTTATCTAGTAGTCATGTCAATGGCCCTTGCCTTCGTGATGACATTGGTCAATGTGTTCTTGCAGCCCACAGACTTCTGTGGCCATCACACCATCAATCATTTTGCATGTGATCTGCAATCTTTATACAGACTGGCTTGTTCCAACACAGCGAGTGAGCTCTTTATGCATATCTCCAGCCTCTTTCTGCTATTCCCTCCCTTTGGCTTCATAGTTGTGACATACATTGGCATAGGCCTGGCGATACGATGTATCAGCTCTACCCAAGGACGCAGAAAAGCCTTCTCTACCTGCAGTTCTCACCTTACTGCTCCTAGTAAACCCAAGAGGGCATAATCCAAGGGTCTTCAAACCTGGCAACTTTAAGACTTGTGGACTTCAACTCCCAGAATTCCTGAGCTAACATGGCTGGAGGAGGAATCCTGGGAGTTGAAGTCCACAAGTCTTAAAACTGTCAAGTTTGAAGACCCCTGGCATAATCAATACTGAATGTTAAGGAGGAGTGCATTAGGACGTCAAGAATTAGAATTCATGATGCTTTTGGAGAACAACAGGTTGGGGAATATATTCACAAATAAGCTGAGAATTTTGGGTGCCAAAATACATCCCTAAATACATTATTGTTTCATCTTACTGATGGATGAGCTCCTCCACAAATATATATGATAATACATTTTTTTTAAAAAAAAACCCTGTTATCCCATATGTGCTTACAGATAAGCCATCCATTAATAAGGTGATCCTCTATTTTCTAACCAAAATGCCTTTGCTGGAATGTGGTGAGGAGATGGATTCTCAAGAGGGAGGGGCTGTATTCCAGAGAAATAAAAGGTAATTCAGTCCAGATATTTTGTATGAGAGAAAAATGGCTGAAGACAGCCCATCCTTAATAGTTTACAAACTACATTGTAGAAGTAGATAGTAGCATTTTTAATAGGAAAGATTTTGTCTGTAAGTGTGAAACAATAAAGAAGTCACTGACAAAAAAAACCCCATGTGTTATTCTTGATTTTGAGCCTGACATTTTCACGAATGGCCAGTTTGGTCTCGCAGTTAAGGCATCAGGCAGGAGACTGAATTCAACTCCTCTCTTAACCATGAAAGCCAGCTGGGTGGGTTTGGGTCAGTCACTCTCTCTCTCAGTCCTACCTACCTCACAGGGTTACTGTGGAGAAATAGGAGGAGGGTGTTCTATATTAACATTCTCCAAATCCTGAACTCTGATTGGTCCGCATGGACCGCAGCCTGATTGGCTGACTAAACAACCATGATTGGTGCTAAGAGTCTACCGCGATTGGCTGAGCCGATCGCGGGAGATTCAAAGCGCTGTCATTGGCCGCCGAGCCACAGGCTAGCTCTATAAGAAAAGCTGCGCGGCTCGCAGGTCTCTATAAGAAAAGCTGCGCGGCTCGCAGTATACAGTACTGTATACTGAAATAAAGAGCTGACTGTTCACTTTGGTCTCGCGTCTCTGTGGGAACCGATCTACCCGATCTAACAGAGGGAGGTATGTTGGATATGTTCACATCTTGAGTTATTTGTAAAAATAATAAGGGTGGGATACAAATGAATAAATAAATAACAATTTCTAGATATTTTAACAATATTGAATGAAGAGATGCATCAGTATCTCTGTCAGGTGAAGTTAAGTTTTGAATTTATAACATATGTGGTTGGATAGATCTGCTGTGCCAGAGGAAAGATTGTACCTTATTCTATTATGCAGGAATCATGAAGGATGAAAGAAAATAAATAAGCATGAAACAGAGAAAGGCATAATGCATAATACTCATTTTATTGAAGCAAGTTTTGCAAATTTTAAATTATAAATTTCCCCACCCAGAAAGAGATCCATTCATCCCAACATATGGGATACAAGTATAGAATCGAGTTGTTAAATGGAGGTTCTATAAGAAATAGCACCATTTTCATCACAGGAGGGGGAAGAGAAATGCAGGACCATCAGTCTCAGAGGTTGCAGTCCCAAGTTCATTTTGACAGATCTCTTCCTTGGCAGTTGGCTGACCAGCCATACCTAGGAATAAGAATAAGAATATTGCTTTCCTTTCTACATCACACACATGATTGTTTCTTTGATGATATAACTGTACCTCAACAAATTCAAGAGATTCATGAAGTTTCAAGGTAAGCTAGTTTTTCTTTTTCTTTTTTTTAAACAAACTTAATTCAGTTTTTCACATTAAAAACAAAAATCTCTTTTTAGTGGACAACATGTTTCTGGGTCATCACCTTTACATACAAATATGAGAGCAATTACACATTGATGTTATGACTCCCCTTCGAAATTCAAACGAACAAAACAGAAAGCAGCCGTTTCACAATTAAATCAAACGGAAAGAAGTCTTATTAGATAACGGCTGGCAGAAACCACAGCATAAATCTTACTCTGTCCAGCAAACCAGTCCTGGCAATAAATCCTCAGCCTCAGAGCTCTTTGCTATAACGTCCTCACTCAAATAGTCATTTTGTTCCTGGCAAAATGCACCAGCCCAGCTGTGTCCTTTTATACTCATTAAGGCAACGTGCTAATTTACTGACTTGCTCTTCTCATTTGCTCCAGCTGATTTTGCCTTTTCAACCGTCTTCTATTTTTTACATTTAACCACAAATTTTCCAAGTTCTCATCTCCACTAGAAGACTCTCTCAAAACTTCCCTGTCAGCCATTCCCGGCTGTTCATCAGATAAAGAACTAGAGGAGATCAAAGGTCCTGACAATTCTAATACATCAGGTCTGTCATCCTTTGTCACGTCCATCTCCTCATCCTGGTTATCAGTCCAATCAGTAAGCCAGGCTGGTTCAAATTGTTCTGACGTAACCTCTTCACTTGAACTCATATCAATCACAGGAGCTGAATCCAAGCCCGGAGCCACAACACATTGATATATGCATACTTAATTCTATTATTACCTTTTCCATTCCAAATTTTCAGTAAGGAGAGAAACAAACACATTAATTCTAGCCTCTTTCATTAATCTCAATCGAAACATCTTTTTGTTTCATTTC